GATAAGGTTGAAGAGAAAATACCGATCACCAGGACAAGGTGATTGAAAATGAATACGTCACTCTAGAAGCTGAGAACTTTGATGCTGATGCAGAAGTTGGCTGTATCACTGGGATGAGTGGACTTCCCATCGCTACGCTGTTTAATTGCTCATAAAAATCTCCTCTCCATTGGAAATAACTTTCCGTGAGGCAGGCCTTGAAGGGTTCGACAATAACACTAGGGAACAGATTGGCTATCTCTCTCGAAAAATCTTCCAGCGGGACATTAGTGAACAAGGACACAACGTCGACCAGAATATCACTTGGCTCCAAGGTTATACTCTTAATTTTTCCCACAAAGTAGGTATGTTGAATCCTTGACGTACGAGGTTGTTTTTCCAACGTGAGGCTGAGGGAGCGATGCAAGGTGTTTTGACAGGTAATACGTAGGCGAACCCGGTGCCACTCACTATGGGTCTCAACGGAACTTCTTTTTTGTGTATCTTCGGAAACGCCGAGGGCTTTGCAATTTATCAAGAAAAAGGTTTTGATTTAGTAGATATACAACAAAGAAGAATTCCAGATAAAGTTGAAGTGAAAATACCGATCACTCTGAGCCAGGACAAGGTGATTGAAAATGAATACGTCACTCTAGAAGCTGAGAACTTTGATGCTGACTTGCTAATGGGATAAAATTTTCTGAAGAAATTTAAAGTGAAAATTGATTGGGGAAATGATTACATGTATATTATGGAGAAGAAAATTGAATTGGTAACCGAAAGAGAACTGTGATGAAAACAGATCAAGAAGAAAGACAGAATGGTTCGAAGAAGTTGGTGGAGATGGAAAATGAATTGAAAGAAATGAAATAAGCAATAATGAACTTGAGTTGAGTAGTGACTGAACGAATCGAGTAGAAAACGAATTTGTGGTGAGCGACCAAGATCACGGAGTCTCAAGCACAGGGTGTGGGCGCCCTCTTGGCTAATAACATCACGACCGGTACATATCAGAAACATGCGACAGTCTGTGGCTGCTCATCGTTTTGAGGTTCAACTCAGTACACCACGAACTTCACTGTTTAAGAACTCATTCATTTGGAGAACTGCGTTCAAGTGGAATACACTTCCTGAGAACGTTTTTCCAAAAGCATTTAATCCAGCGATTCAAATACTGTGGTGATTGTAAAAAGAATGAACTAAATAGACGCAATGTGGCTAATTGCTGTTCACCAGAAACCGTTCAGAGGCAAGTAGTAGAAACGACTAGTGGACAGACTATTGAGTTTATCAATAAAACATCAAATAGGAATGACCCCGTATTTCTCCATGAAGAAGTTGGCTGTATCACTGGGATGAGTGAACTTCCCATCGCTACGCTGTTTAATTGCTCACATAAATCTCCTCTCCATTGGAAGTAACTTTCCGTGAGGCAGGCCTTGAAGAGTTCGACAATAACACTAGGGAACAGATTGGCTATCTCTCTCGAAGAATCTTCCAGCGGGACATTGGTGAACAAGGACACAACGTCGAAACTGACCAGAATATCACTTGGCTCCATGGTTATACTCTTAATTTTTCCCACAAAGTAGGTATGTTGAATCCTTGACGTACGAGGTTGTTTTTCCAACGTGAGGCTGAAGGAGCGATGCAAGGTGTTTTGACAGGTAATACGTATGCGAACCCGGTGCACTCACTATGGGTCTCAACGGAACTTCTTTTTTGTGTATCTTCGGAATACCATAGAGCCTTGGCGGGACGGCTTCTGTTCTTAAGATGGTCTTCTGAGTGGTTTCCGACAATGATGACGATTTTATAAGTCGGTTCGTATTGCGCAACCTTGATTGTGTTGGGTCTCTTTTTAGTTTGTGGTAGTTGGACGGATCAAGAAGCTCTTAAATTTTTCCGACGTATTCCTCTGTTTTCAAGAGCACCGTAACATTTCCTTTGTCAGCTGGTAGAATGATAGAAGGCCATGAAACTGAAGTCAAAATAGGGAGGAAACTCAAACGGTTGCAAGTGCGTTTCTACCGTACATCCCTAGGGTTACAGATAAAATCGAAAAAATCCTAAGGAAGCATAACGGTGTTCAAGCCCAACAGGAAAATACAGCAAAGCCTGAGATCTGCGAAAGACAAAAGAGATCCACTACCAGCTGCGGGGGTATACCGTATATCATGCACCTTCGGAAAAGTTTATATCGGTACCACCAAAAGATCCATGGGTACAAGGCTGAATGAATATCGGAGAAACTGTAAATTAGGCTAAATAGAAAAATCGGCAGTAGCGGAACACGCGTTTAGTGAAGGAGATCCTACGATACTGTTTGAAGATGTAAAACTACTTGCACCCGATCATGGATACCACAGTCGGCTTGTATGGGAAGCCATAAAAATCCATAGACATACAGAAAACTACAACAGAAAAAAGGAGGCGATAACGCTTAACCGGATTTGGAATCCCATACTAATAGATGCTAAGGTGGCAGCAGTGCAACGCAATGTAACAGGTAATAACACTTCGGCCAATAACAACGCACCAACTAGAAAGGCGGGCTACCTGTGTCAACATAAATACAGCTTAAGAAATAGAAATCACGTGTCATCGATGAGCCATCAGGATAAATAGACCTCTGAAGAAGCCAGCCACTCGTGCTGGTGAAACGTTAAGATACAGTTCCAAATCACGACGGCCTTCAAACCCGAACGAAGATCGTAACACGGAGAAACATAACAATCTGCACTGACAGCACACAAGCCCTATTAGCCTTGAATAGACAACGTGTTACCTCAGGGCTAGTACTAGAGTGTCACCAAGAATTGGCCAAGGCCTCGGTAGATAATAACATTATCCTGAGGTGAATTACCGGGCACGACAGGAGTAAAGGTAATCGCATTGTCGACTCTTCAGCCAAGGAAGCGGCTGGACTAACAATTTTAGGACCCAGTGGCACCTACGGCCTGATGAGATCGACAATTGCGGAACTAGCCAAATGTTACACCCAGGCTCAATCCCTAAAGAGATCGGATGGAATCAAAGGATGCAATCTTGCCAGGATCAACCTGGGCGACCCTGGGAAGCTGGCACCAAAAAATATCTGGCCATGACCATGAAAAATCTACGCTTAACAGTAGGATTTCTGACTGGCCACTGTCAATTAAGCAAACACCTCCATATTATGGAGGATGTGTGAACAGGAAGATATTAGACTGTCAGGCATGTCCTATGCCAGTGCCCAGAGTTATCGTCAATAAGAGAGGGTGTGTTTGGCGAGTCTTGGCCTACACCTCCTCCTATAAAGGAGATGCCTCCCAATGACCTGTCCACCTTCCTGGAAAGGACAGTATGGACGATGACCTAGGAGGACAACTCCTCGGGAGGGTGTACAATGGGTCTCACATGTGGCTTGAGTGCTGAGGGCTTACACTCACCCACCCTACTCTACAGATACCTAATAATACGTTCAATTATACTTCGACAAAACATGTACCTATCCCAATACCAACATGTATTCCAACAAACCAAATATTGATGTCAAAAATGGTATTGAGCTCTACCGATGCCTGAAATACTTTAAACCCCATAAAAAAGGTGTAACTTCGATAACAATATAATTTATTTAGGAATGGGTGGGTGTACATTTATTGTATACTCGTAGCGTTGAATTATGGAAGAACTTTATTATTATTAATGTTCGATAATTTTTTATAATTCACTGTATAAAAGATATGAATATAGAATCGGACACGAATATTCGTTTTGTCATACAGAAGAAAAATTGTGCGCGAATTGCAATGAATTTGTTCTAATCATCGTTGCTCAGTATGTAACTAATTGAAAACCTTAAGTCATAATGATGTCGCTTGAATTTCCAAAATGGTGTGATGGAACTGATTAATTCAATAGTCAAAAACACACCTCTTCATCAGTTATTTCTCTACGACTACGTCTTTTCTCACTTGCGAACAATCGTTCGCTCCGCAGTGCCTAGCCTTCCTTTCATCTTTCCCATGACCACAAAAGTACCAATAAGTAGGTATTTAAGGAAACGTAATTCAAACTCGATTAAGTACAAATACAAACTCACAGTGTTATAGTGAACGAATTGCAACCCGTTTTAAATAAAAATCCGCACGCCCTTTAGCCGCCTACATTTGCGATAGGGAAAAGATTCTCAGGTGATAGAGGGCGCCACGAACTGATTAACCGTAAATGCATTTTCGATTTAATTTAAAAATGTTATGTTTTAAAAATGTACCTAATTTCAAAAAACCTACATTCACTGAAGAGTAACTCCCATTTTTAATGATTTCAAAACGATTTAGTAGATTTTTTTTCTTTCAGAAAATTCGAGAAACATTCGATCAGTATAATCTAGATGAAAATGGAATAACTGATTACGAAACTATAAGTAAAACATATATGATGGAATTGACCGATACCTGTTGAAAATCTATAACTAAGTATAAGTAAAACGTTTCAAGTAGACATGAATTCCTTTTAACATCTTCCAGGATTCAGCTGCATATCAAATTGGGCTCCATTGAATTTTGATTATTTCCAATAAACTTCATCATACATTAATTGTGTTCTTCAGTAGAAGTTGCATTTGCTTTGTTCAAAATTGATATACTGTCGTTCATATATCCATGGATTTGAATCAACGGTTTGAGATAATTGATATTTGACATGTAAAATATGAATCATTCGATGAACTCGCAAAAAAGTAATTTTAATTTCTCATTTCCATATATAAAAACTTCGAAATACTGATTTTAACACAACGAATCATCTTTTTCCGGTTAGATAATGTTATAAATCTGGTTTGAAAATACTTTTATGGTACTGATGTACTCTAATCAGATTTTCAAAATATTATTTGTATGTTGGAAATAATTTATTATTGAAGTAGTTTGAGTATTCATTATAATTGGGAGCAGCCGTCCCTAGACGGTAGTGTCATCTGGTGTTAGTAATGTTTCATAGTGTCCTGTGCCCTATGCCTATTGCGTCTCTGTGCTCTATCGTTCTGTGCTCTGTGAGTGTTCTGTGTCGTGCCGTGTTTCCATCAGTTTTCGTGTTTGGTATATCCTCTCTGCTCATGTGTGTGTCTATTTAATCTATTGTTTTGCTTCATTTTATCTTGCGACCACTGCGCTGAGCTGTGGAAGTTACTAATAATAATATATCTTTGAATATTTTTAATTAACTGATTGCTGTAGGATTTTAAACATGACCCAACCACATAGCAGAAAGCGAGTCTGTTATTACTATGATAGTGAGTATATTCTGTACTAATTAACTAATTCTTCATGCATTCACTTACTATGTTCTCAAAAACGAAAAGGTATTTTTTTCCCCTCACGATTCAACAGTAATTCCTCCTAGAACTTCACGTACGATATTTCGAACTATATATGCAAAATATCTCGATAGACTGACACCAACCGTAGTTTTTCTGACAGTCTATTGGTCCTTAATCTTTGTGACATTCGAATGATGCCTATTTGTACGGTTGTACGATGAATACGTTCAAGTGCGTCGAAATATTTCACTGGAAATTTTTCAGTTGATTCTTAATTTTATTCAATTTTCAGGTGATATTGGAAATTATTATTATGGCCAAGGGCATCCCATGAAACCACATAGAATACGTATGACACACAATCTACTTTTAAATTATGGCTTATATAGGAAAATGGAAATTTATGTGAGTACTCTTTAAGATCCAACTTTTATATAAATTTTATATGGTATGTACCAATATCTAATGAAAATTCTGTACAAAATTGCAATTCAGTTATCTATAGGTCATTGCCAAATATTCAGAAACTGAAAGGCTGATCAACTTTCCAAAAAATGAAAATATCAGAGTTGCAAAAAAGGTTATGAGTTTATCAAAATTACCCAGTAAATTGAAAACTCCTTTTGAAAATATGACTGAAGCAAACGTTGTGTATTTATACTGGTTTAAAATCTCGAACTTTGAAGTCTTATCATTTTTTATAAGCGTTATTGCAGGAGAAATCGTGTGCATCACATCAAAAAGTGTTTTCTGGAATTAGTATACATAAATAATGGTGATCAATTAATGATTGAAGGATTGGGATAATATTTATCTTTTATATCTGCATCCACACATTACATATTTACATATGATTCTGCGTTCTTCCACCTTTCTGCCTCCATATACGAATGTCAAAAGGTTTTTCTATTATGGTATCGTTCTACCAATAGTAGAATCTTCGCATGAAAAACTCTTCTATAATTTTGAATCCAGGGATTTATATTTTATCAAAAAAATTTGTCAAAAACCTCGAGTTTGTAACGAATGAAGGTACTACTTTCAATATGGGCTCAATCTATTTGAGTGTCGTTTTTACTAATGTATCACAAAAGGCTTCAAGTAACATTCAGTATTTCATTTATTCAAATTGGTCCATTTCAATTCAAGGATTCACGGCAAAGGTAACGTGATGGAAGCCACAGATAAGGGCTAGACAAATATTATTTCAGAATGTTCAGTTAATCATTGAAAAGAACAATTTAGGACGGTAGCTCCACTCACTCAATCGGCTGCTGTGTGAACCTGTGGTGTGAGCTGTAAGGCCTGGACGATCGATTTTTACTTCCTATCGTCCAACCNTTCAATAAAATAACAACTTTTATAGGGATCAATAAAAGTAGAACTGTAATGAGGAATGAACTATATGATTTCTTGTTGGATAACTGCTTCTACAGTATGGATGAATTTCTTGCTTTTAGTGCTTAGATAAATGACTTAGTTTATTTTATACATGTAGTCTTCTCTTTTAAGTTTGTTCAAGATCAAACATTTGTGTTTTGCTTTTAGCGTTTTACTTTTGACTAGTCCAATATGTTTTCACATGTATTTAGTCTTGTAATTATGTACGTGTGAAAATTTTAGTGATGAATAAAACTATTTCTATAAATTTCTTTTGTGAGCAGAATATTCTTTGTGAGCTTGATGAAGAGCCCCAAAATATGATCCCATAGGAAATAATTGACTGAACGTGAGCATAGTAATATATTTTCAAACAACTGATAGATACTTGGTCCCGTAGATATCGTTATAACTCCACAGATGGAGTTCAGCCTACTATTCAAGATGTTTATGTGTGTTTCCGGCTGAGGATCGGATCTAGTCTAACGGCTAGGAATTGTATATGATCTGATGTTGGAATCGATTTGCATTTGAGTTTCACATATGGGGATTCCTCAAAGTTGTTTCTTTTACTGAAAGTTATCAGGCCGTTTTTTTCAACATTCAACTTGAACATGTTTTCTTCACACCACATGCTCATGCTTAGTGAAACAGTTGAAGCTTTTGTTGAGAGTTCAGACATATTATTTCCTGTAACAATAACCGATGTGTCATCAGCAAACTGATATATACTACCAACGTTTGTTTGAAGGTGATCGACAATGTTTCATGATGAATTTCATTAGTTCGGACTTCCATTGTCTGATATTATATAAAATGATTTGAAATACCTGAAAGAATCAAAAATGAATAGCTGAAAATAATCATATCAAGTAAAAAAATCAGAAATGAAATGATAGTGAAATAAAATACCTGTAAAAATATAACAATTGATCAAAAATTAAAGATAATAAGTTAAGAGATTCCAAGCCAAGTTACCTCACGACGTTTCGATTGTTAGTATCCACAATCGTCTTCGTAGACTTGTTTTTCAACCTGACCCTGACGTTTGCTGTGTCCTGTGTTCTTTCAGGGTTCAAATCATTTTATATATTATCAGACAATGGAAGTCCGAACTAATAGGATATACTACCACTTTTCAATGCTTGAGACATATATTTCACATGAAGAGTAGGAGTCCAAGAATTGACCCTTAGGGTACCCTTGCATGATACTAGCTTTGCTGGACAGGTAGGTATTGGTCTTGTTAATCCATGATAGCAACAACTTGTAAATGATTTGTTAGATAAGACTTAATGAGCCCATGGGTTACACCCTTGATACCATAATCTTCTAGTTTGTTCAAAAGTTTTTTGTGGTTTACCGTGACGAAAGCTTTTGCAAGGTCAAAGTACAAGCTTACCAAAGAGTTTTTCCTATCCACACTTTCCGAGATATGTTTAATTGAATTGAAAATCGCTGAGCATTTAATATATTGTTTTGGTATATAAAAAGTAGCAGTCTGATAGTGATATTGGCCAATAATTATTTATTTCATTTCTACAACTTTTTTTGTAAACAGGCACAACTTTGGCAGTTAGTAGTCATCAGGGAAAACTCCTGATGACAAGCTCTCATTGATAACGTTTACTAAAGGATCACATATATATTCTGCAATTCACACATTCAGAAAGGAATATGAAAAATCTAATTGGAGGAATAATTACTTCATAGGTTAGATTTTCAAGTTGAACCCCATTCTCTCAATATTTTCAACTTCCCCAACTTCAAAACTGTGAAATGGAAGAGATGGTAACAGGAGATCAAATAAACGGCGAACTAATAACATCAATTAAAGAGAAAATAATCAGAGGGGTACCCCAAGGGTCAATCTTGGGTCCTTTACTCTATATATTATATACTAATAACGTATCAGACGCTGTGAATGAATTTATGGTGCAATATGCTGATGATTGCTCTGTGATTTTTAGTTCAGATGATGCTTCTTCTGAAAAAACCAATATCTTTTCCTCCCTGAACCTGCTAGAAGACTACTTTTCAGCCCATAATCTGAAATTGAATACCAATAAAACGCATGTCATAAAGTTTACACAAAATGGTACTAGTAGTGTTTGTAATCTCAGTAATGG